CAGTTTTGGCCTCACTTGATCAACGGTAAAAGAAAAAAAAAAGGGAAGATCAAAGGGCTCCGGAGTTTGAATTTTCTTTTTTTTTTTTGTCTCTGGGGTATATATATATATGGAGAGCAAAAGCTCAGAAGGGAGAAGAGGCCGGTAGAGAGAAAGGGAGAAATTCGAAAAAAAATGGAGATCTGGTTTTGAGAGGGAAAAGAGAAACTGAAAAATTGAAAGGAATAGATCTGGGGTTCTTGGGGGGTTCTTTGGTTTTGAGTTTTGGTGTTGACGGCAAAGAAAAGAGAGGGATTTCGGCTAGGAGGCAGCAGCTTGAGAGGAGATCGTTAAGCTCTTAAGGAGTGACTGTTTTTGGAAGCTGCGTTTCTGGATTTATCTTTGCTTTAGGTATTTTTCTTCAATAGAGGAGTCCTTTTTGGGGAGGCAGTGAGGGGAATGATCTGGGGTTGATCCCGTGGGTAGGATCCGCCAGATCGGACTCCGATCTGTTACCCAGAAAAGCTCCGCCGTGTTTGTTTCTTTTGTCTTCCTGTTTCTATGATCTGCTTTTTTTTTATGTTAAGATCGTATGTGTTTAGTTGGAAAATGAATGAAAAACCCAAAAAAAAAAAAATTTGTTCAGTTCATTTTACAATGTGCCTTTTTTTTTGTTTGTGAATGTGATTCTGTTCATGATGAACATGTTCTTGATTTCAAGAGTGATGAACCTTGATTGCAAATTTTCTTTATCCATGTTTGATTTGTCTTGGTTTATTTTGAGTAGCGGGTCGTGTTTCTGGGTTGGATCAACCCGACCCAATTCAATATAAAAAAAAAAACTAAAAAGGTTAAAAAGTAAAAAAGAATTAATAATTAAAATTATTAATTAATTAAAAGAGTTAGTTTAATTTATGATTAATGAAGTTAATTAATTTTAATTAAAATAAATTAATCATATTTATTGAGTTTGATTTGAAATGATTAGATTTATTTAGTTATCTCAATTAATAATTAGTAAATATGATTAATTAATTTTAATTAATTTTGATTAATGTTAAGTTAATTATTTTGATTAATTAATTTTAATTTTCAATTAACTTTAATCATGATTAAAGTCAAAGTTATCTTTTATTTTATTTCAATTTCACCCACAAGTTTTATGATTAAGCAATTCAGTCCTAAAGTTTCAAATATTTTTAAATCAATCCTCCATGTTTTCGAATTTAATCAAATTAGTCCCTTTAATTTTATTTGTGCTTATGATGCATGCTTGTCTTTGATTTTGTCTATTTTAGTCCAAAAATTTTAAAAATATTTCAATTTGGCTTATCCTTCTTTTAAACTTACCTATTAAAAATCTCTACAGGAAACATGAACCCAAAACCCTAAAATCAACACCGCAATCATGAAACACAACAATCCGAACACTTTTTCCAGACAACGCAAAATATCAGAAGCAAACGCCGTCCGCAACCGCCACACAAACAGCGACACACAGCTCAGAAGACCAAAAACAAACCCTGAGAAAAACTAGTACCGAACTCGACACCACAAACGCATAACAGCAATCGACGATCACAAGCAGGAAAACACAAATACCTCATTCGCTTAGTAAAAAGGAGGTGGAATTCAAGAGAAGAAAAAAGAGGGAACAACAAAACCCTAGCTGAGAAAGAAGGAATCGAAGGAGGAACACGTACCAGGAATGCGATCCTGATTTAGGTAAAGAAACCTAACCCT